CAAATTCTGGTTGTCTCGGACAACCGGACAACGCTTATTTCGAGCACTGATATATATATATCTTTTATTCCTTGGTAGTTTTTACAGCATCAACAAGTGAGTATTCGTATTCGTGAAATATTCGTATTCGCATTCATATATATCGTGATACGTATCGTATTCGTGACCTAGTGTATTCGTTACAGCCCTAATATATATAAATCAATAAAGTAATATATTGATTGGCACACAAACCCTATCATGCTGTAAGCAGTAAATTTGAAAAAATAATGATTTTTTACTGTTATTTGCAGTTCACACTCTACTGTACGCTGAAAGGAAACAAACCTGACTTTCACCTTGCCATGGGTGCCGAGCAGTCAGAGGCTTTTTATAGAGACTTCCTTAGTCAGCTGCAGGCAGCGTACAAACCTGAACGTATTAAGGGTAGGCTTCTACAGTGACACTGTGATGGTTCACTCTAATTCAATATATATTGAGTAGATTTAGTTACATTGAGTACTATTACAGTTAGACATTATCAAATATAATCTACTAAGTTACTAACTGATTAAAGTTGCAAAACCTCACAGCTAAATGCACATATATACCTACTGTGAGCGTGCATATGTTGCAAAAATTCACTACAACTCATTTGTATTGCTACTTTCATAACATTTCTACTCAAAATCTAAACGAAATTACTTCTCTTACGAAAGTAGCACCACATTGATGTTTACACATCCGGGACAGCGGAGCGATCGGCTCGAGTCAGTTATAATTCATTATTCGATGTATATTCAGTACAAAATTTTGAAATTTGTTTATATCATATCGTTATCTATATTACTTATGCAATCAGGAAACAAATATAGTGTTTTCGTTCCAGGAACTGTTTGCGCTAGCGTAGGCCTACTGCTAGCTGTGTAACATTACCGCGTCAGACACAATTTTGAAAATATCAATGTTTGTAGAACTTTGTCAACATTTCGTGATGTTTGTACACTGCAAGTATGCTCACAGTAGGTCTATAGGCTTTTTGTTGCGAGGTTTATCCATTTTAACTAGCAACTGAAATTTAGCTTATAATAACCCTTCTTGCTAAAATAATCCTAACTAAAGTATACATCAGACACACACCACATAATGTTTCACTAAGTCCAGATGCTGTCACTTATTAATTGTTCATTGTCTGTTCTAGATGGGAAGTTCGCAGCATACATGCAGGTGGACATCCAGAATGATGGCCCTGTCACGATAGAACTTGAGGCTCCCCAACAGGTATACACCGTTATCAGTGAAAATCAATGTTCTCTATTAACTACATGGTGTACTGATACTACCAGGTATTTTGATAGACTCCTGATACTACCAGGAGTAAGATAATATAGGATCTTACTCCTATATTATCTTACTCCTGATACTACTAAACTTACTATGAGACCACCGTTTCATATTTTAAGGTAATCGGACATGTTCACAATGCTCGTGAATTCTCAAGGGGGGCTTATGTCGGGCTTGCGAGCCGACTCGACTGGAAGCAACTGGAAGCGATCGGCAGCGACTAGTTGCGTCCAGTTGCCCACTGTTCTATTCCGAGCAACTAGTGGCAGCCAGTCGCAGGCAGTCACGTCGCAGTCGACCGACCTAAGCACTGCAATCAGGCAGTCGCAGTGAATTGCAGCCAGTTGCTTCCAGTCGAGTCGGCTCGCAAGCCCGACATAAGCCCCCCCTTTATATATTTAGACGATAGTTTAGATCTTTAAAAAATTGTACGTAATTTCTTCAGCAGGAATCTCGGATGAAGAAGGGGAAGGGAAGTAGTGCAAGTTTATCCTCGAAGAACAGTAGTGCTAGTCTAACTTCACAGACCGACATTAATAACACCCAGCAATCTGAACCTGGGAACTCATGACATAAATCGTACAGGTATTGAAATATATTGCGGATTTCAACTGCTATGCAATGTATGTACCCTAAATGTACTGTGTAGTTATTTGGCAATACATTTATTGTGGGCATTTCGATACCAATTTACCTACGTGATAAGCTACTGGGTCAGTCAGTGGGCATAATACATTTATGTGCATGTGTCAATATAAATAACCAAGTTAATTGTTACTCAACCGTACTCAGCACGGTTGAGTAACAATTAACTTGGTTATTTATATTATTCTACCAACCGAATGAACTTATTCAATGAGTGCATGTGTCAAGATTCAAACGATTTTCGATACCACAATAACACATTAGTTGAACTATATTCTCAACAATATGCACTGGTAAGTTGCAGTGGTTCAGGCTTTGCGTTTACTGCAGTCATTATTTTATTATCTGTGTAATTCTAGTGCTTAACTATTCTAGTAATTAACCTCTAGTGCTCCACTTATTTGAACGTACTTGCTGATAAACTGTCACTGGTAAAGTTAAACTTCATTATATTGGTACTGTAACTACTGTTATATAAGATCGTGGATTTTATGTATGATATTTTAATTTATAACAGAGTGAAAGATGGTATGAAATAAGAATATATAACAATACTCAAAAAACACTCAATTCCAATTACTGTGTTTATAATTTATTATTACAATACCATGTTCATGCTACACCAATTTAACAACCCCTTTCATAAGGTCCCTAACCGTTTATATAAAAATACACAAAATTGTTTGTCTCCTTATCAACACCTTTCAACGAAGGCCACACTTTTACATAACAGTATAGGTTGAAAGAACATTATCATATTTTCATGGAATATATATTATAGATTTTCTCCACAAGACTTTCTTACATAGAGACAGCTTACATTCACTCATCACAGGAAATCGCATCGCAAACAAGGAAGTTGTACGAAACACGTATATTCCTTCAAAGCTGAGATTGGCTTTGTTGACATCTATGTAGTTGATGTACCCAGCACTCAAGAGATTCTTCAAATTCTACAATGAAATTGTCGATTCAGCTACTTGTGAAGCAATACATATATCTCAATAGTCCAAAATACATGCGCAAAAAAACAAATTAAATACTATAATTACCAATGTAAAACAATTAAAAGAAAACAATATTAAATTAACTATTAATTGGCATCATATAGTTAGTGTACACTTGGAATTAATACAGAGACAACAAAGAAAAAAGTTGAGCCACGATCATTGGGTTTTCCAGGTAATATGAGACTCAATATAAATGTAAAATATAATGAACAATACCTGGGCCTACCACAAAGCTAATGACTACTAATTATAACAGCTGTACTCCACCTACGCATGGGCAGCATAACCTGTGTATTACCGATTTTATCTGATATTTTATTTAACGTAAAAGTGTATCACACATATAATACCCATCCATCCCAGGAGTTTAGACAATCCAAATGTGCAACTTCAATTGTAATGATATATAATTCCACTATAATTCTGGCCAACACACCTTGATTAAATTAACAAATTATTCTTCCAACGATTGCACGAACCTTAATATAGACATTCAGACTTCCACTGATCGATCACCTTGCTAAATATAGTAGATAAAATGCTAAAAATATGCTATATTAACAAAACATAATAATTTTTCGTGTTTGTCACGTGCATTATGCGTGTTTAACAAACCAGTGAATAAATGTTGTAAAAGTCGGCAGATAAATAGCATATTTGACTATTTAAACAGCTATATATACATCAACTGTGTCTATAAGAATTCTTCCCAATTCTTGTTAAAATATAATAAGCAATCAATTCCCATTACAGTAATGATTACATCATGGTTCAAATCAATTCAATCGTCCTAATTAATATATAATGGCTATAAATAACGGGGGTGAGATAATATTTGGAAGTATAATCAAATAGGGCATGCATTACCAAATTAAGCTTCAGATGCCGCTGGTACCGCTTTCCTGCTCTCAATTATTTTTCGTTGTCTAACCTTGTGGTTGCAGTAGATCCGTAGGAAGATAGCAATGAAGACTACGACGATTCCAATCGCCCCTAAAGCCGTCACCATGTGACCGTAGATGACGCACGAGAGAAGGATAGCTAGCGCCTGCCGCGTAGTCATGATTATCACAAACGTCACTGCACCGAACTGAGAAATCGTGTAGTAGATGAACAGCTGCCCTGCGGCCGAGCACACGGAGAGCAGGCAGATGTCGAAGACGAAGGCAAAGTGTCGCGTCGCGAACAGGAGCGACTGCATGAAGCCGCCCTGTTGCCATAGCGACACGAACGTCAACAGACACGAGAAGAGGTTCACGCCGCACATCATCTGCACGGAGGACATCTTGTGCGCGCTGAACAGCGCCCCCTGCCAGTTCGACGTGAAGCTGTCGAAGAGCATGTAGCCGACGAGGATGAGGAAGCCGGACGATGTCGTCACCGTGTTTCGGTGGCTCTGCTCACCATGGCCCGACAACAGAAAGAGACTGATCCCGACAGAAATCATCACCGCCGTGACGTACTCGAAGTAATGGTACGACTTCTTCGACACCAGCTTTCCCATCAGCATGACGGGGATGATTTTGGAGGCCTTCGCGAGCACCTGCGTCGGGAAGCTGACGTACTTGAGCGCCTCGTACTGGCACCAGCTGCTCATGATGTTCGAGAACGAGCAGTAGGAGTACCTGTAGAGCGGCGCCGTGTGGCGCGGCTGCTTCGTCAGCAGGATGTACGCGCCGGCGAGAACGAACGCGAGGATTCGGTTCACGAACACGAGAAACTGTGAGTCGCGAAACGTTTCGCTCTTGAAGCCGCCATACTCTTTCGTCATGATTTTCTCCTGCAGGACGCCCCAGGTCAAGTACGAGCCTGAAAAATAATTGAATTTGTTTATATGTAAATATATTGATATATTATTGTATATTTATCAGGGTTCTCCAAGGGCACTTATAGCCTGGCGGCTTGCAGGTTATCGTCGAGCCCCGCCATCCTAAAATGCACCCGCCACGCTAAATATCATAGCTGCCATGCTGGTGTATACACAAGAAGTTCAAACAATTAATACATGTTGGTCTCGATGCTACGGGTACGGCAGTACCACACACAAGTACAAACAGTCTCCCTATCCTTATCCTTATCCCTAACCCTAACACTAACTCTAAACCGACTCGGCTATCTTATATACACGTGTTATAGTACCAAAATTCATCTACATATATGGTGTATAACCTTTTGCTTTAAATATTTTGCATCTGAACTGACAATCAATCCAAACCAACTGGTGTAGGCTAGCTGGCACAATAATGTTCATTTTCATACTTCAAATCCGAGTGTTTTCTAGCTCATCAAGAAATAATTATTTTGAATTTTCCCGATGGCTTTGCCCATGCAAAACAAACATTTTAACCCCACATTCAGTGCTTCAAATTTACACACAGAGTGTCCCAGATTGCATCTCAGAGCTTCTACAATTCAAAAATTTTCCGGGGGGCATGCCCCCGGAAACCCCTACCAGTCAGTAGCACCCCCTGCTATAATTTTAAAGCTTGGAGAACCCTGTTTATATATATTTATATTTATTATTATTATTATTTAGAATAATAATAGAATAATATCTATTATTATTCACTCCTGATCATATCATTAGCTATGACCGGGTGTGGTTAGCTTGAAATTACTACCTAATAGCAGATAAAACTAATTGTGACTTTCTTTTTTCCCAGTCGCATTGTCGAGAAATTTGCAAAGTACAGTTTCATTTATTTGTAATATCATTCCTAATATGGTTGGCCAACTTACATTGCAATCCAAGAAAGCAAAATAATAACACCAATGCCTGAGCTTTCTCTGAACGCTCCGGTTTAGGCAGTTGTGTACTTTGTTCTTCTATGTCATCTTTCTCTGTGCTGGCACCATCGACAAATAGTTTCAATACTCTAGCAAAGCAACCATCACCTAGAAAAACCAATGGCACATATTTTAATCTGTTATCATAAAACACATCAGATCTTAGCTGGTGTAACTATTCAATACATTGAAATATTACAAAAGCATTTAGGCACATGAACACACAATATACACAACCAAGTAATATGTATGAATTTTTATTTTTTTATTTATTTATTTATTTAGGCAATTATCCATCATATACAATACATTGCATACTTTTACAATAAAAATTTGAATTCATAAAATTGGCTAGCACACTTATTTACATTGTGGTCCTTGTTTTGCTATGCCTTAATTGAATCTAACAATTGTACTACTATCAGAACAAACTATTGAAATATACAGATTTGTAGTTTTTGAAGGTGGTTTAAATATCTGTAAATATAATATATTAGCAAAACAAATACCTGCTCTCTCTATGTAGTTACTTCTTTTCAGGTAGCGTAAGATTAGATAACCTGGAAGGATTATCGTTGCGTAACCGAGTAGGTTCACAAGAAGACGATACATCCAGAAGTCTTGCCATTGCTTGTCTGAAGATATGATGGATTTAAACCCTGCTATTCTTTCCACGCCCTGATCTCCTGCAGATGTGCCGATCGGCCCCACACTCTGAGCGGCAGGCAAAGCCGACAGGACGACGACGAGCAATAGTAAAGTCATCATCCTGTAAATAGTCGAGTGATAAAGTTACCCAGTGACAGTGTAGTTCATTACATTGGGACCGACATAAAATTAAAAGGGTAAAATGTACATGCTCCACTGTTTCTCATATTCTCCCCTTCTCCACCTCTTATACTTATAGTACTTTCTCATTTTTTATGCTCTTGCAGATACGCAACGTGACAGGATTCACCTTCAAAGTTCATCCTCATCTTCTAGTTCTAAGACTTCTTGCATTTTCCAAGAAAATCACCTTTAATATCAGTGATAGCCGATCTACTTTCCCATCGCCTTAGTAATACCAAAACCAATAGCCATCAGCACTAGCAGCAGCCAAAGGCAAAGCATCACTCACGTAGTCTAGTTTGACTCGGTTTGACTCCTTATACGGAAGGACCCATTTTTATCACTGGCAGCAAGAACCACTCCGCTGCAGCTACAGCACACACACGGCCATTGTCTATATATGACATATGTTATATGCAGGAGCGGCGCCAGAGTATTTTATTAGGGGGGGCGAAACCAGGGGCGTGTACAGGAGCACGCGAAGGGGGGGGCTGGGG